TTTTGAATCTTTTGTTCTTTAGTACTTCTGGATTATCTTGACCTGCAACCATCTTGTAACCAACCATCAGAGTTAGGTAGCAAGAACCATAGAGAAGTAGATCCAGCAATGGAGTGGTTGAATAAAGCATTGAATTACTTAATTCCAGGCCTCTTGTTATTTAGGAAATATAAAACACTATTTGATTAAGTCACTGTCAATCATATGTTCCATCACTTGCAGCCAAAACAGGCCTATTTAAATTCCATACTTCAAGGTACCAATTAGAATAATTTGAAGCAGCAGATAGCATAATTCTTCTGATCCTAGTTATCATATTGTTAAAAGTGGAGATTAAATGTCCATACTGGAGAATCATTGAGATAATATATGTGAAGAAAACCTAAAATGTTCTCTGCAACATAGTAGATGCCCAATAATATGTCCTTTTTTCCTGGCTTGGTTCCACTAGAGCTAACATACTTACTGAAATTGTTTATCTATGCATCAATTTACCACTCTCTTGAATAGGGATAATAATCCTATATTTAATTTTTTTCCTAATAAACTTTCAAGGAAAACCCCCTAAGCCAAATCAATAACGTTTTAAAAAAGAAGGGTTTTTTTTTTAACTTCTTATAGACTTGGGAATAAGTTAGTTACTAAATGCTTCATTAATTCTTCTGGGCCTCTGGAACACAATTAGCTGTTTGCTAAAGTACAATATACAATTAAATACAAGTGCTATGAAAATATTTCTAGAGAATGATTTGAGACCATAAGATCATATTGCTCAAGAAAATTTAGGGCTAGAAGATAACTTAGAACCATTTACAATACCTCTTTGTGAGCAGTTGAAGAAACAGATCCAGGCATGTAAGTGATGTGCCCAAGATCAAATAGTTAATAGGAGCAGATTATGATCATTCTGCAAAAGATTTTTCTGGATGCAGAACATGAAGACAATGCAAGTTTTATAAAGCTCTGCAAAGGACTATGAGATATTTGCTCTGAGAATTTTTATTTCAAAATAATTTTTCTACTCTATTTTACTAATGCTTAAAAGGCACGATGGTGTTTTACTATTTCAATTCAGTTAATGAATTTAGATATACTTAAACGGAAAATGTACAAATGGATCACAGGCATATTTTTCTAAGAAATTTAGCTCTCTGGTTTTCTGCTTCAAAACTTTTTTATTTTGAAAATATTCTCTTACAGAAACATAGAACAAATGTGTTATCTACCCCTTGGGCAAAATTTTTAATACTATTTCATGAAACCAAGATTGTTAATAAAGTAGGATTGCATAATCATAAAATTATGGACTGTGTGCTGCAGTCCATGGGGTCGCAAAGAGTTGGACACAACTGAATAACTTAACTGAACTGAATTATAAAATATGACTTGTTTTAAGGAAAATATTTCTGTCATGGGAAAACCAAGTCAAGAGATTTGACCAGATTAGAATATGGGTCTCTCAGCTAATTCTGTGACTGAACTCATGCACCTGTCATACTTAGAATAAAAACTCAGAAGCTCCCAATAATATTCGATATCAGAAGCTCTGAGTGTTGTATGTATCTTTGCCTGGGATTGTGTAAATGGATATGAAATAAACATTTCAGGAAAGTTCAGGCACAAGTTTTAGTACTGGGTGGGTGCTTATGAGCCACATACTTTCAGAAATTTTATAGTAAGTTGTGAGCATGTGTATGAATATAGGTACTCTAGTCAAGTCAGCCAACTTATGTGCTTTCATAATTGGACCTGAATTGCAAGGCTTTTTCCTATGTGACATATGCGCTCCCCATTCCAGAAGTAATATTCACTTGAAAATCTTGTCCTTTCCAATAAGGTTATTACTATCACCACAGGACCGTGGAACAGTCTTCAAACCCCACACGTGGAACCCTCCCCAACAGCTTGTTAAAGTTTCATGAGCTCATCTGTTGTCTTTTGTTAACAGCTCCCTACTCCCCTCCTTCCCCTGCAGCCTTTACTTACACACAACTCATCCAATATTTAAAGAATTTTTAGAGACGAGAGGTGACTTCAGCCAGGAGCTTAGCCAAATTCCACAGCTGGCCCTCACACATTGCTTTAAGTCTCCAGCCATCGGCTCAGGAAGGTCACAGCTACATGTTTACAAATTAAATTTAGGCCCCTTATCAAAGAACTTGACTCACATCATGGGCCATAAATTCTTCATTGTGCCTGTTCAGTGCTGTTCACAGATAAGTGGAGCCTATGGGTTTTCAGACTCAGGTTTTATTTTTGTCCGAGGGTCAATGACTCAAAAAATATCTGCTCTCTCCTAGGGCATTAAAAAACAATATAAAATTAAAGAAAACCATCCAGCATCACTGCAGTGTTTTATCTTATAACTTTGGTTAACTTGGTAACTTTTTCATAATGACTGGAGTATTGAGTAACTTTTTAATGTGATACTTATATTTCTGGGAATAAAGACGCAGGACTGGTCAATGTCACCATAACCTCTTAAACTATTCTTTTACAGTTAGCGATGAACAAAGCAGGGTATTTTGCCTCACTTAGAACCACCAAGATTGACTTTACAGTTCTGATTTATCTGAATAAAGAATTTTGCAGTTTCAAAATCACATATATAAATATTACCTTCTTTTAGAGACATACCTCCAGGCACGTCTTGGAGAGTCTTGGATAGCAGTGCATTTTCTTGCTCAGTCTCACCTTCAAGAACAAAAACTAGGAGTATTTTATTTTAGATAAGAAACCAGGTTTTATTCTGGAAAATACTTCACCTCACAGGACGGTGTCCATTTTTCAGAGGCAGTTTCAAAGGAGGATTTTCATAAATACTCGAGCGATTGTTTTATCTGACAGTTGTGGAGTTCTCTGAGGCCATATTCCAGAAGTCCAAGACATTTGCCACAGTTGGCTTTACCCTTTGCTGGGACTAATTTTTATATTTCTCAGTTCTTTGTCTGATGCTCTTCCCTTCTACACAGTGCTTCAGTGATGTCTTTGTTCATCTGAAAGGAATGCTGTGAGATGACTCTTTCCGGTAGAAGCTTCCTACGAAGCAGCTTCAAATCATGTCTTCTCAAAAAAAGGGAAGAGAAGAATTGATCCCAAAGCCACATAATCCAAGCAAAATTCCTGAAGTTTTTCTGCTTAAGTGACTCAAATATAAGCTGGATCTGACTGTCTATCTATCTGTCTAATTCATCCATCCATTCATCCATTATCTATCTGAAAGGAAAGCTCATAGTGGAGGGTCTAAAACTGTGCAGTTCTGTAATTATTCTAGGACAGTGTCTGAGGAGATAGGACTTTCAGCTTGTTGGTCAGTGAGTGAGAGTGCGGTGTCTACATGATAAGAAGAGTACTGGACTTGAATTCTAGTTTGCCTTTGGGCTTCTAGATAGGCCTCTGCCACAGACAGCTGTGTTATATCAATTAAGCTGATCTCTTCTGTAGTTTCGAGCTTCCCTCGTGGTTCAGATGGTAATGCATCTGCCTGCAGTGTGGGAGACTCTGGTTCGATCCCTGGGTTGAGAAGATCTCCTGGGGAAGGGAATGGCAACCCACTCCAGTATTCTTGCCTGGAGAATCCCACGGACGGAGGAGCCTGGTAGGCTATAGTCCATGGGGTCGCAAAAAGTCAGACATGACTGAGCGACTTCACTCACTCACTCACTTCTACTTTCATTGCTTATTCTATAAAATGAGAATAAGAAATTGCCTTGACTAGGTTATTGAGAAGGGTAAATAACAGTCTGAATATAAAGAATTGACACATAGTAATAGTAACACTCTTACAGTAATGATAACAAATGAGAACTTGAAAAACCGTGTGGTGTACAGGAAAGATGAATCAAGAAGCCAAAGGACTTGAGTGATAGTTCAGCTTTTGGCCAAGGTATTTTATTGTCATGGACTTTATGATAAACCTATGGGGATAAAATGGTCTTTCTCTGAGATCCGTTTCAGTTCTAAGCATTCAATAATTCTTCTGCTTATGTCTGTCTATGTGCCTTGGATAGGATAAGCGGACATCCCAGACATTCTCCTTCCCATTAAGTCAGCCCTGTGCCATCTGTGATGGAGTTTCTCTGTGTATGATTTAAACACTTTCAAGCCACTGAATTTATCTCATATTCTCTTACAGAAATTAGAATTTTTTTTTTTACTTTTATTTTTTTGTTTTGTTTTAGCAGTGATGTGAGGAGTGTGCACATGTGGTTTCTGAGGACTGGGAAGGATGGTTTCTATACAAACATGCTTTTATTGTTTATTTTTTTCAATAATTGTCATTTCCTTTATAGTCACTCAGACCAGCTTCCTTCTTTCATTTGCAAATTTTCTCATATAATTAGTCAAGCTGTTCTTTTTGAGTCTATACTTTTAACATTTGTTTCTACTCTGACTATTGCAGATCAGATCCCTATTTATTATTTCTTACTTGGATCATTGCCCTGGCCTTGTAACTCCTCAGTCTCTTCCAAACTATTCTACATCTTACTGCCAGATTAATCTTTTAAAAACTCTGTTCTGATTTATCATTCTTCTATTCAAAAGCCTTCAGTAATTCTCTCTTGCCAGCCAAAAGTGTTCATGTTCATTTGCAAGGCATTCGAGGCACTCCATGACCTGATTCCAACCCAAATTTCCAGCCTAATCTCCCACTGCTGTCCTTTACATAACTTGTACTCCAGCCAAACTGAACCACTTACCATTTCTCAAATGTGCACTTGTTCCTGCCTCCTTACCTTTTGCTCTCTTTAAAATGATTTCCTTCAGCTTATAATTTCCTCTGTGTCCATTGTGCCTGTCAAAACTCTGCCATCCCTCAATAATCACATCGAATACCTCCATAACATCATTTCTCATCTCCTCAACAAGAAAGAATACCAGTAATACTCTGCACATAACTCCCTTTCGGCAATGACTTGTAGGGGATTTGGTGTCAGATAACTGAGTGTTGAGTCTGGATTTTGACTTTTATTACCATTGTGCGGTCTTGGTGCAAATCATTTTTTTTTTTCAATGTTCAGTTTTCTTTAATGACCCCCATTCTCCCCGAAGGGCAGGTGCAGGCGGCTGGGCGGTGGCAAGAGGTGTTCACTTGAAGATCTTGCCCTGATTGAAGGCTTTGCCCACATGCTGGAAAGCCCCTTCCCAGCAAAGTACTCTCGAACCAGAGTCTGGGTCTCCTCACTGCTGGGATCCAGTTTCTGCCATGTGTATGACTCGTAGTCCACCTGCCAATCTGGACTCAGCGGAAAAGCAAGCTCCTGGCCTCGAAAGACCCAGACACCAGAAATGGAACTGCTATTGTTGGTTCCAAAGAGAATGACACTGGCAAAGGCATTCTTCCTCAGTTTGTCCAATCGCTGGAACATTCCAGTGATGAGGTTGCAACTCATGAAGGTCTGGGTGAGCTCTTCAGGGAAGCGATACTCAGAGTACCACAGGGACCAGCCATCCTTATCAAAGTGATCCCAAAAGTACGGCAGCGCCACGGAGAGAGTATCCTCGTTGGAGTACTTGCGCTAAAATTCATCCAACACAAAGGTACTCTTGGGCAGATGGGCAAAGGGATCCTTGGCCTTCGGCTCGGCAGCCAGCGCCTGCTCACATTCATCCAGCTTCTCCTCAGGAGCAGGGGCGGCCGCCTTCTTCTCCTCTTTGCCCTCCTTCCGCTCCGCCTGGGGCTTCGGCTTCTCTTCTCGAGAACCTTTCTTCTTCCATGGGGTGTACTTTTTAGGCTGGCTCTCTGCAAACTTTTTAGCATCAAACTGGGCCATTTTCTCACAGAGTTTCACCTCTCCCAAGACAGCCCGGAACTGGGGCTGGTTAATGCAGGTGAGGAACCAGCGGTTGGTGTTAGGGATGGCCTGGCAGAAAGAAGGCTCCAGAACCTGTTTATAAAGCCACAACAGGGTGCAGAAAACTGTGATGTCAGCCAGCGTCATGCGTTCGCCCACCAGAAAAGTCCTCGTCTTCAAGTGAGCATCCAGCAGCCCCAGAATTCGCCTCACCTCTTCCTTTGCATTCTCTGTGGCCTGCTTGTTGTGGTGCCTGATGCCCAGGGTAGGGACACCCAGCTGCTGGCTGGTGGCACTGCGTCGCTATCAGCAAAGCTCACCCACTGCGCCACCTGCGCTGCTGTCTCTACAGTACTTCCCCGCAGCTCCTCGCTGCTCACATAGTAGGCAATGGCGTTGCTCTCGAACACACAGAATCCATCGTCACCCTCAAAGGCTGGAACCTTGCCAGCAGGAAATCTACGGAGAAATTCGGGGGCGCGGTTGGTTTGGCCAAAATGGAAGTGGGGTGGTGCAGAGAGCACGCGGACCTGAGCCCCGCTGTACTGAGCGGCAATGAGGGCCTTGAAGGCCCTCCGGTTTTCAGAGTACGTGTCCAGGGTCCCAGCCGCCGTGGTGATTCCGCAGAGAAAGGGGCACTGCAAATCATTTAAGCTCTCTTAGCCTCAACTTTTTTTCACATTAAATAAGAATGGGCGCTTATTCTGTATAATTCACAGAGTTATTTTGAATATCAAAAGGAACACATATAAAAAAATTTAAAAAAAGAGGTTAACCCCTGGCCTAACCCAAACAAAAAACAAAAGTCCCAAAACAAAGAAAGAAGGTTCAACTAATTTGGGGGGTTTTGTATATGCCATCAGGTACTCTATAAATGCTTATTAAATTAATAATTTTTAAAATATAATTTTCTTTGAAAAGAGAATATCAAGAGTTATCAATAAACATGTATCTCTTAGTGCAGTATTTCTCCTTTTAAGATTTTTTTCATAGTACACTTCCACTCTGTGATCTTAATGGGGCAAAATCATACCATGTATCCAAATCCAGTTAAAACTTCTCTCTGAAGGCTATGAAGAACAAAGTAGTTTGTTTCAGTGTGGAAATTTTCTGAAAGTTTCCGCATATAATTCTATAGTACAACAACTTTGGGAACTTTGATTTCATCATTCTTGTACCTCAAATAAAGCCAACACACACACTCACGTACTAACACACACACACACACACACACACACACACACAAAGAGAAGAAAAAGGTTTTAGGCAAATCAATTTCTTATGAATGAAGTGATTCTTCTTCTTTAATGCCCTGAACTCTCATGGAAGTACCAGAAACTATAGGGTAGATGTCTGGGACTTATATATAAATTGCATATAATTTGCACTTGCTCTCTTAGCTTCATCTGTGTTTTTGGTCAATTAAGATGATTGCCCAACTGAATTGTTACTCTTTATTTCTTTCTTCCTTTTCTTCTAATGTCATTGGCCCAGGTGCCCTGCCTCAGAACTCTTCAGCAGTCAGGAATGAATGAGACCCCAAGGGGAAGGAAATGCATAAAGACAGAGAAATATTGAAGAGACAACAGTTTAAGTGTGTGCAGCACAATGAGAGGGTGTCACTCAGAACAGAATGTTCATCTAGTAAAAAAGAAATCACTCTTGTTTGTTTCTGTGATTGTACCAATGAAGAACAAGCCAAGAAATCCACAATCCTCTCCTTGGTCTACAGAGAGAACTGGGGGTACATTACTTCTCCAGTGGGAAGGGAGTTTGTTTGGGTTACTTAAGCAGCAGCATAGGATTTAAGGAGTGACATAATCCCTTCTTGGAAGAATCTGGCTGAGTTTGGTGTCATTTTCGGAAAGTGAGGGTGATGCACCAAGAATGACAGATTGACCGGAAAGAGAACTATGTGGAAACCTCCTAACCTCCTTGAGTTTTATCCAAGGAGAAACTAGAGGGTGAAAGAATGCCTAGGCACTAATGTGCAAGTTCCTGCTAATAATCCAGATCTGGAAAGAGATGTGTGTCTGGAATACTTGAAATCAAATCTCTCTGATCCCGTAAGGACTCTATATGTTTAATTGGAATCTTAAAATTGTCTCAAAGGTTCTTATATAGAATGTTCTATCTTGTTCTGAGTTGAGAGAGAAGAGAGTGCAGAACAAAGGATTATCAGAAGCTGTATTAAGTCAATGAAACACTGTAGTATTGCTTAGGTAAAAATGGGGCATAATTTGTTTATGAAATTTTCTTTAAAATGGCCCTTGCCATAGCCTCTGAGGACTCTAAGCTTGTGCAGTGTATGGCAGGATACAGGATCTAGCTTATGCCTCTGTGTTCTTTCAGTTCTCTGTGCTGACTGATAGGGTGGTGGTGCAGACAGGGTAATTCAATATCAAGGTTCTCCATTTTTCTCTGTAATACACCCTCATTTCTGGCTTTTCTGGGAAAGAGTGTTCTGCTCCTCTTTAATCTCCTGATTCCACTGGATTTTCTTTCTTACTTTCCACATAGGTTTTTTCTTTTTTTTTCTTTTGCTGATGTTTCTCACAGCCATGTACATGAGAACATGACAAAAGTCATATTTTTGACAAATTGATAAGTGATAGGAAAATTAACCTCCTGTCTTCAAAAGGCATAGGGACGGTTGATTTGCTTAAATCTTTCTCAAGGTAATAGAAGTTGAATCCCTGAAAGGACCAAGTTTCTTTTAAGAGGCCCACTAGAACTGGACATGGAACAATAGACTGGTTCCAAATTGGGAAAGGAGTACGTCAAGCCTGTATATTGTCACCCTGCTTATTTAATTTATATGCAGGGTACATCATGTGAAATGCTGGTCTGGATGAAGCACAAGCTAGGATCAGGATTGCGGGGAGAAATATCAATAACCTCAGATATGCAGATGACACCACCCTATGGCAGAAAGCAAAGAATAACTAAAGAGCCTCTTGANGCATGCTGTAGTCCATGGAGTCACAAAGAGTGGGACATGACTGAATGACTGAACTGAACTGAACTGTGCCCCACTGACCAAGACCATATTGGGGGCAAGGTTATGTTACATAAATGCACTTTCTCCCAACTTCTTGCCAGTGACTTTTTCTTTTTAAATGAATGGACTAGAAATGTTGGTTATGAAAAAGGCTGATAGAAAATGTTGATGATACCTTCCCTCCTAGAAAAGCTAGTGTGGCAACTTCAGGATTTGTAGGCAGGAATGTATTTTGAATTATAAGCAATTCAAGAAAGTGACCTGGAGAAAGGGCTGGAATGGGGGAAGAATGCTACTTTTAGCCATGATTTTTTTTCCTCTGTGTTCAGTTTACTTCTTTAATCCTTTGAGATGTCCTGAACCCTGAGCTCTGGTCCAGGGAGGCAGAACTGCACGCAAACCCCTCTTGGCCCTGGCACACGTGCACGGTTAACTAGAACACGTGGGCTCAGTTACTTGAATTGAAAACAGACCTGAATGAAGAGAGATCTGTTTTGTGTCCCGATGCCTCTGTGTCCAACAAGTTATCAGCAGGCCATGAGGGATGGAAAGGTCTTCCAGCAATCCGTGCTCATCATCACTGCCTAGTGATTTAATTCAGAGTTCAGATCGTAAATTGGACTTGATGTAAAACATCAGCCAGGGCTGAGCGTCTGCCTGGGTGTGCTGGGCTTGCCTCAGGCTGACCTAACGACAAAGCATGCTGTCACGTCTGGGTCATCGGCTGTCAGCGGACGGCTCCCCGTGGGAGATCCAGGTCGTGAGCGTTGCAATTGTCTAGACAGGAGGTGACAAACAACGTTGACCTTTGGGATGAGATTGATCTCCTTATTTTTTGACAGGAGGCCTTTCCAAAAGGGGTGGGGTCTCAGGAGGCACAGTCTAGAAGCTTCATCATCTGTGAGTGGAATCAAACCTGTGTATCCGCTCCACCCAGACTGCAATGCCAAAAAGAGTTTCTCAAGGGTGTATTTTTTTTTTCTTTCTTCTTTTTTTTTTTTTTGAGCTAAATGGTGATGCTATATTCACTGGGTTTCAAGAGTGTGAGGAAGGAAAAAGGGAAAAAGAACCTACTTTAATGCTGTGTCAGCTCTGAGGCATAGAGTATTTTGTTTAAACCCCTTAAGATGTTATGAGGTTTGTTATCTTCACATTAGAGAGGAAAATATATAGGCTCAGAGATGATCAGAACTTACTACCTAGGGCCATGTAGCAAGTAGTTTCCATGGCCCAGACTTGAAGTATGGTTCATTTTGATATTGTACAATGATACCTTTCCAGGATCTGGGTTTTCTATTTCAGTGGGAATAATATCAGCTACCTCTTGAATTCTGAGGGTTATCAAAATGTTAAAATAAGTTGAAAAACAGACTTTTGTTTCCTCTTAAAACATCCACTTTTGAGTACACTGAAGCTTGTCTCATTATCTTGCAGCTACCTCATTTCCCCTGGAAGAGAATAGAAATTGTTCAGTGAAAGAAGTGAAGGAGGGCCTTGGTTTAGACTAATGTGTCCTGAACATTCCATTGGTCACTAGTCCTGGGACATTCTCTGCACAAACACATTTGGGAAACTTGGCATAAATATTTCCTTCATGAAGAGCCATGTGATTAGATTTGCATTTTGTTGAAAACCAATCTTTTTCAAACTTAATTGATCATATAACTTTTTCCCCCTAAAAAACTGACTAATATCACATGGCCTAATATTCTGAGGAGTACAGTTTGCAGACAAGTTAAAGTTTAAACTGTAGTCATGTTTCCCTGAATCTAGACTCAGAAGCTTTATTAACTTAATCTATGTAACGAGGATAGAATTAATTATCTAGGTTTTTAAACACTTGCTGTGGCCAGTGTTCTGACCTATTAGCACATGCAAGGACAATCCCAAACATTTTGAGAACTCTTTGAATAACATTTTGAATATGGTGAAGATACTTCAAGTCTGAAAGAAATAAACAAGGCTGTATATACGGTCTTCTAAAGCGTATGGTATGTGTTTCCTTATACCCTTAAGCCTGAAATATTTGCAGAGACTATCTTTCAGAAATGCGTGATTATCAAGCACAAATATTTCAAATCCAAAGGCTGTTTACCATTTTGCAGATAAAAAAGGTCCCAAACCAAAATGTTTTTAGCCATTTGGCAAAGGCAAATGTGATTTTTCTCTATTCATCTTTCTTCTTTTTGTTTCTCTTCTCTTTCCTTTCTTCTTGTTATTTCTCCATTCTACCCCTTCCCTCTTTAGCTGTTGCATCTGCAGACTGGGAGAATGGATGTGATAATAATTCTTACATAGACAACTCTATATACAAAAGTTTTTAGCCATCTTCAAGCTGAACTTCAGACTCTTACCTTAAAAAGAGATTCCCATTGAGATTAACCAGGGTTTGCAGGTTAATAAAAACCATTCTGGTTGAAAATTAATTTGAGCCTTTATTTCATTCTGTGAACTATCAAACAAAATTAGGCCATTCTTCTAGTCATTTATTTTGGATTTCTTGGTATGTTTAATAATACACCAGAGATGCTTTTTATTTGATTTTTAAAAATAATTATATTTGTAAAGAAAAAGAAGTTTCAAAGCTATGGGGAATTATGTAAGTATATATACTATTTTAGTTCCTGCAAGGTATTTATTGATTCATTCTACAATAAAACATTTCACACAGAATGCCTGCTTAACGGGGAACAATATGTAGCCCAAGGATTTCCTTTAGATTTATTAGGAGACTGAAATTTTATTTTTATTTGCTCCGATAAACACGAAATCCAATCTCCCAGACCTTAAATCCAGCACTTAGAAGAGTAACTCCCTCCAAAGAGACTTTGAGACAGCTTAATTTCTCCAGTGGGAAGCTTTATATACGCGCCACCCAGGCATAACCTGGCATTTTGATAAGCTTGGTTGAAGATCCCAATTAAAAAATGTTTCACAAGCACAACCAGTAATGCACTCTTTAAAATACAAAGAGGAAACAAATTACCTACCTCTCGACTCCCTTACTCACTCTGAAAATGACTTACATACAAGACAGGGAACAAACCAAGTCATGAAGCAAGATTTGAAAGTTTGAACAGTATAGACACTTGACCTGCAAGGATTTTTCACATTTCTAAGTTGATTCCTTGGTTTGTACTATCAAAGCAGAACTCTAAAGTTAAGAAATAAAGCTTGATTCTGTTTTTTTTTCCTCTCCTTTGTCTCTTTTCAGCAGGTTATTTTCCTGTGTCATGAGTTAGTTTAAACAAGGATGCAGATTACTATTAAATGAACTAATCACAGCAGAGAGTGGCAAATAAAAGTTTAAAAATATTTGCCTTCCATGGTAAAACTCCTATTCCAGACTTCAGGCAGCTGAGATAAAATATTTGCTTTTATGGCGTTAAGAAGGAGAAAAAAGTGATGACCTCCAGAATGGTTTAGAGTATTTTCTAAAAAGTCTGCTCTTCACAGTCTAGTAAATGAAGTTCCAGTTGCTTTAGAATTAGGGAAAATTGATGGAGTACTGAAACTGAAGCACAAATGAGGACACACAGTAAAGATAGTTCTTAAGAGTGCAATCAGATTGTGTGTGTGTGTGTGTGTGTGCACGCTCAGTTGTGTCAGACTCTTTGCAACTCCATAGCATGCCAGGTTCCTCTGTCCATGAAATTTTCCAGGAAAGAATACTATGCTGCTGCTGCTGCTAAGTCACTTCAGTTGTGTCTGACCCTGTGTGACCCCATAGATGGCAGCCCACCAGGCTCCCCATGGACTCTCTACTCTGCCGAGACTAGGACTAGAGAAGTGAAAATAGAAATAAGGTTCCTGTCTTTATTCGTGAAGCTTATGTATATGTGAGTGCTCAGTCATGTCTGCCTCTTGCAACCACATGGACTATAGCCCACTAGTCTCCTCTGTCCATGGAATTTTCTAGGCAAAATACTGGAGTAGATTGCCATTTACTACTCCATCATAAAGTTTACTGGGAGGATAATAAGTAAACACACAAATAATTTACATGGTGCTTTGAAGCAAAGAAAACGGAGAAATGATTGGAACAGTTCATTTTAGATTACCTAGTCAAGAAAGACCTCTTTGAGGAATGTTATTTAAGGTAATACCTAACTTACAAAGCAATGTAATCGTCTGAAAAATCTGGGGAAGGGGGAGAGAGTAAATTAAATGTAAAGGCCTTGGGACAATAATTTGGGAGTTTGAGTGATAGAAAACAAGCATGGCTGGCGCAGCATGAGCAAGGAGGAGAGCGATAAGGAAAGTCAGGCAGATCCCAGCCTTCAGGTCAAGGTGAGAATTGCAGATTTTATTCTTTAATGGTTCTGATTAATCAAAGTACTGTGCTCCTCCACATGCAGAAGTGATATGGAGCTTCCTTAGAAAAGCTAAATGCTTCTGGCTTTTTGCTGCACAGTGGCAATAGTTTTACATAGTTCTCTTTCTATATATACACATTGGGGGTACAGTCAGCTACAAACAAAGAAGCGAAGCCTTTGCTTAATAAATAAACTGAAACTTTAAGAACATTCTAACCCCGGACCTTAACTGTATCAGAACCAGGCTTTAACCTGCTGTTTTGAACCTATGCCCACTTCTGATGAACACCCCAAACATGCCCCACTGAAGATTCTAATATGTCCTTGGGTAAGAAAAGGGGAAATTGATTCAACTCTTTTTCTTACTCCTGTTAAGAAAAGAAATAAAGAATTCAGCTTCTGCATGCTCCCGCTAGTCAAGAAGCTTTTGTCCAGCTGTTCTTCATGTGGTTTATAAGACACAAAATATAGAGGCTTGTAGGATTTTCAGTTCTAACACTGTTATTGATTTTTTCGTACCATATCCAACTTCTACCAGGTTGACCGTCCATGATCTAACCCACTGAGAATTACTTAAATACGGCACTGAGTTTGATGTACTATCATTTTATGTCCTTCATGCATCTACATAAATCACCTGTATGGAAACAGAAACTTGCAGAAGAATCAAAGCAGGTGATAGTCCTTATACTGGTGGCAGGAGACCCTAATTCTAAACCCAGCTCTGTCCCCTCTATCTTCTGAGCATGTCATTTCAGTCTCTCTGGCTCTGCGCCCTTCCCCATCCTTCACTCACAGAAGGTGATAATTAGCTCAGCTCATCAAGAAGTTTCCTATTTGGAGCCAGCATCTGTCCATAACAAAGCCAAAAAGAGGCAGAGACAAAAAGGGAGGGAGAAAAGGAATATCACTGTTACCTGACCTGCTCATTCTTTTAGTATCTCCTCAAAAGCACAAAACTCAAAATGTGGTACCTCTGACATTATTCAGTAAGTGGAATATAAGTATTCTCTAGTGGTGAGCCTTCCCTTACACTTAAACACACACGGTGCAGGAGATAACTTAACTCCACCTCTGTAAAGAAACTTGCTGAAAGAATTCTCATATTTATGTGGGTGTCAGAGCTAGGAGCTCATTGCTTCCAAGTTGTGTGTCATCAAATTCAGTAAGCCTCCTCAATCAAATTTCTTTCTCTTTCTTCCCACTTCACATTTTCTTTCTCTTCCATGTATTTATTATTTTTAACAAACTTCTAATAATGACAGTGTACAGGTTCAGTTCAGTGGGTACCCAGCCATATTGATGGATGAATGTGATGAAGTTAATCACTGGAAGTGGAGGCTGGCTAAAGGATTTTATGATGCTATGTTGAGACCCATCAGCTAGTCTGCATGTTCAGCCATGGCACAGAATGAAAATGCATTTGCCTGAAAAACATTCCTTTAGCCACAAGTAAGCCATTTCCTCTCCTCTAACTCATCACTACAGTTCATGACACAGGTTGTATCTTTAGCAGTGATTTTAAGGTGGTCAATTTTATAGTCAGTGTCCACTCTGTTTCTTGATGTTTTAAACCAGGTCAAGCCACCCATGTACCATGCGCCATCTGACTCAGGCAAACAGACCTGCTACTAAGAGAGTTACTCAGGACTGCCCTCTTCCTGTTTTTGACTTGCTCACATGGTTTTCACCTTCCTAGTCCCATGTTTGGATGACTTCAGAGTCTCTGTCCAGTCAGAGACCCAGTGCTTGGCATCATGTGGTGTGAGTAGAGGAGGATATCAGGTATATTCATACAGTAGGGACACTGATTTTCCAACTTGAAAATGAAAATAATTCCTTGTGCTGTCTAGTTACTCTGCTCCACATTGGTATTTTTTTCCTAAATTTATTTTTAATTGGAGGATAATTGCTCTATAATATTGTGCTGGCTTCTGCCACACAGCAACGTGAATCAGCCATAACTACACGTGTGCCCCCTCCCTCCTCAACCTCCTCCCCACCGCCTCCCAGGC